TCAGCCGGTGCGGAGCTGATGGATCCCATGTGAACAGGGACATTACCAGGCACTCCAGAGCTCTCAGCACACGGGGATAAAGCAGGCATTGTCCTGCAGGAAGGCAATCTGTAACCAGATAGGCCCTGGCTCCAGCTAAAAGCCATTTCCCCAGCGTTTTCCTGCCTCGTTCCGCAGGAACTACAACACAGGGCACATTCACACCAACCCACGGGCTCTCTTCCCCCAGTGTCCCATTGGTGCCTCTTCTCCAGGGAATTCTTAACCCACCAGAGGTGCTGAATTCCCAGCACAGCTCCTGGAGCAGGAGGATCCTTTGGGAAGGCGCTCCAAGCTTTCCCCTGCAGACACAGGAAGCTGCAGCTCTGGTGTGTGTGCCCGAGCCTCCCCACGCACTGGCTGCTGCTCCAGCCACCAGCAGGTAAGTCCCCTTTATCTCACAGGGGGGAGAGGGGCTGGCCACAGCCCCAGAGGGTCCTTTTGCCCTCCTCCTCAAAGCACATCCTCCAAATCCAGCTCTGAGAGCATCCCTGCCACACGGACCTGTCGCGACGGCGTCACGGAGCTCTGGGGTCTTTTACAGGACAAGGGGCCTGTCTGGCACCTGCAGGACCTGCCCCATCCTCAGCAACAGCTCACAGTGGGAACGTGTCCCAGGCTCTGCCAAGAGCAGGTTTTTACGCTCCACATTCCTGCTGTTTCCTCACCCCACCGTCTCCCGCTGCCCAGCAGCTGGGATGGGTTCCCAGCTCCCTGTCTCTCCTGGTAACACTCGTTCCTGGGATGCTGCTGCCTCTGGCAGGTTCCTCCCCTCTCAGCTCTGCCCAGCTGCTGCTAAAGAGGAAGAAGTTTGGACTCTGGGCTGGGGGCTGAAGCACCCGGGCAGGGCCCAAGCTGGGTGGGACGGGCGGGAGGGAGACTCTTGGAATGCCAGGAGAAGGCCAGGATGGGGCAGGGGAGGAATGAGCTTGTCTGCCCTAAGCAGGGCTTTTCCAGGTGTTTTGTCCCTGTGGCAGGGAGACTTGTGGCACGTGGACCCACGTGGATAAAATTCATGAGGAGAGTCAAGGGGCTGTTTGTGCAACAGCTTTTCCTGTCGCTTCCCAGGGCAGGGCAGAACAGGCTGGAAACGCTTCCCGAGAGGGAGAGGAGCTGTGGTGGCTGGAGAGGATCATCTGTGATTCTCTGATTCCATGATCCTCAGGTCAGAGCTGCCCTTGCTGGCTGTGGGAATGCCCTGGCTGTGATTCCATGATCCTCAGGCTGGAGCTGCCCTTGCTGGCTGTGGGAACGCCCTGGCTCTGACCGCAGATCCAGCAGTGCCAGAGCCCATCCCTGACACACAGACCCCAATACCCACCCAAATCCCAGCCTTGTTCACCTCCCACAGCACTCCAAACCTCTCAACACTCAACTCCTACTGGGAAGTGCAACCCAGATGTTTTTGTTTTGGCAAGGAAGACACAGCAGGAACCTCAGAGCAGATTTGGTCCAGGCTGCAGTGCTGCATCCGTGGGTTGGAGCAGCAGGAAACCACCACTTCCAAACTCCCTGAGGGCTGGGATCGAACACAACCCCCCCTCAGGCTGCTGATCCCTGGCACTTCAAAGGAGCTGCAGCTCCCACATTGCTGCCAGCAATAAAACTGCACTTCCATTAGCTCCGTGTTCTCCACGGACACACGGCAGTCCCACCCCGCACTCGCCAATTAAAGTCCCCTAATGCTTGGGAGAACAAAGCTGGGGGGATTTTCCCTTCCTGATGGGAAGGGATGGAAGGGAAGAGATCAGCTGGCTCAGGGGAATAGCAGAGAGCCTTTCACTGCGAGGCCTCACATCCAGCTCCGTCCCAGGCCAGGGACAGCAGATGGTCCCTCTGGAAGGGACTTGCATGGAATAAGGGATGGTCTCAGTGGTTGGATAGGTTAGTGCAGCCCCAGACACACTGCTGGGGGTTTCTGGGGGAGAAACCCTGGCATTCCGTGGCTACAGAGCAACCTCTGCCCACCTGACCAAAGGCACCTCGTTCCTGTAGGGAATGAGGGACATCATTGCTGCCCGTGGGCTGCAGGAACCTGGATCTGAGGCTGACACTGCCTGTCTGAACCTGTCATCAGCCCCTTGGCCTTGGCAGCACCAAAACCCCCTCACTGACCTTCCCTTGGGAGGTTCTGCAGGTTAAAATCGTGGGGAAGTTCAGGGATCTGTGGCAACAAGGAGGGAAACCCCCAGGCATGAAAAGTTCCCTATGATCTGTAAGGTATGGGAATAACAATACCATGATTAATTTTAAGCCAATTCCAAGCCAGTGCTCCCTCAGCCATTCCCTTCTCAGAGTCTGTGTCCCCTTCAGGGCACACTTGAACTTCCCATGGGAAGGCAGAGAGTCCCTCGAGTGTCCCTGGAGCAGAAGGGGTGGGACACCTGAGCGTGTTGCTGAGAGAGGAATTTGTACAAGGGAATAAATTAAGCCCAAAGATATGGAGGGTGCAAAGAAAAAGTCAGATATAGGTTTAGAAATACCACATCTGGTTTAGGAAAAAATTCAGAGGAAAGCACTTGAGGAGAAATGGCTTTTTGTAATTCCTGGAGCCTGTCTGGCAGCTCCACGGAAGCACCTCCTGGAAGCACGTGTGGTGCTCCTGACCTGGCTTCTGTGGCTCCAGAGCCATCAGCTGGTGGATTCCTGCAGCCAAACTGACAGCAGCCATTCCCGGGAAGCAGGAGCCACCCTCCTGCTCCGGCCTGGCTGGGCAGCGCAGGGAAAATAGGGCGATTCCCCGGGATCCTCCTGCCCAGCTGTTTCCTGGCTGCGGATTACCCCGTCACATGAGCTGCTTTACAGCAAAGCCAAGCTGTCTCCCTGGGCTGAGAAGGTCACTGGGAGACAGGGGCCTGCAGGGACAAACACATCCCTGCCAGCTCCTTCCCAAAGGGACGCCCCAGGCAGCGGGAAGAGCGATCCCCACTCACCAGAGGGCAGGGAGAGGTGCTTTTACCTTCCAGCCCTTTGCCCAGCCTGGGCTCACCAAGGAGGGATATCCCAGTGTTCTACCTCGTGCTGCCATTTCCCAGGCTCCAGTCAAAGGGCTGGAAGCTGGAAAAATCCTTGCAGTGCCAGACTGACCTTCCCTTGCTCGTGTGCCCACCGGTGTTCCGGACAAGGCCACCCCAGTGCCACCAACCAGAGACACCAAGGGGGAGCTGCACCCCCTGCACAACCTCAAAGCACACCCAGGTCAGTCCCCTGGCAGGAAATGTCCTCTCCAAACCCCCAAACCTGAACAGCAGGGCTGGTGAAGAGGAAGGAGTTTCACTTGGGAATCAGAAAGTTCAGTGGAGCCACTGAGGGCAATGAATTAACCCGGCTGTTTTCAGCAGGGCTGGTGGGCAAGGACAACATTCCAGCCCCGAGGATGCAGCACAGGGCTCTTCACTGTGCCCCAGAGGCACCAGACACATGGAGCTGTGCTTTTAGGCTCTGAAATCAGCCCCTGCTCCGGAGATCCAGCAAAGAGGATAAATCCAGGCACAGAGGGATCCTCTGGAAAAAGCAACAGAGGAACTGAGGAGGGCAGACCCTGCTGAAGCAGCAGCTTGGGAAGAGGGGCTGAGCGCTTCCTAAGGCAAGGGAAGCAAATCCTGAGCTGATTGGAGATGTCCAGGAAGTGGGAATGCCCAGTCCAAAGGGGAGCAGGACGTGAGGGAGAACAGAAACCACAGGTAGCTCCACAGGGAGGAAACTCTGACCTAAAACACGAGGGCAAGAGGCAGAAAACCTCAGAGCTCGGAGGAACTGAGGTGGGGAAGCCCCAACTCCCAGATAGGGTGCTTCTCCTTCCACTGGGTGCCTGGGGGTGGGGGGAGAGTTCCCAAAGCCCATCTCACTTCCTGGGATGCCCCCCCCAGCCAGAACAGCTTGCTGGGATTCCAGCCAGCTTCCCATTTGGATCGGGTTGCACTCTCCACTCACCCACAGCCACTAAGGGCCCGGAGCTCCCAAACTGCCCCGGGGGGCAGAGGAGCCTCCAGCCACCCCAAACAGGCACCATCTTCCACAGCTCTGCAGTGAGGGTGGGCAGGCCCAGCCCAGCCCAGCCCGTGGGCACAGGGGGAGGCAGGAACAGGGCCCTGCTGTGATGAAACAGCAGATTGCAGCCCAGCCCTGCCCCACGTGGGGCTGCAGGGAGGGGGGATTAGGGAGCCCCTCTCCATCTGCCCTGATTCAGTGGAATCACAGGCTGCTCCCTCGCTTCCCAGAGCCCTTGGAATGGTTCAAGGGGCAAAAGGAGCCCAGCACAGGCAGGAAAGAATACGGACACCCCCAGCTTTGCCTGTGGTCCCATCACAGGTAGGAGAGAGCACTGACACCCCCAGCTTTGCCTGTGGTCCCATCACAGCACGGGTGGGGACCAGGTGGTGCTGCTTCCCTAAGCAGGGAAAAAAGTGCACTGGAAGATGCTCCAGCTGCCCCCAGCAGGGACCACGCCCCACCCTCACCCCCTGGCAGCGAGGGGGCACGTGGGAGCAGCTGAAGAAGCCATGCCCTAACCTCGAGACACGAGTTTTGCTCCGCTCTGGGAAGCGGCTCCCAGGAAAAATGAGCTGGGACCTGTCCTTTGGGACTGCCTGGAGGAGCAGGGTCAGCACAGGCTGTGCCAGCACCACGAAGGTGTCCTTGGGTAAGCTGGGAACCCTTCCAGAGGTGGGCTCAGGAAGCTGCCACACAGTTTGGAATAGGTGGTTCCTGCAGGCAGAGCCCATCCCACGTCAGCTCCATCCCTGGAGCACTGAGAGAGGAGCAGCAAAGCAGAACCTGCTTTCAGTCTCAGCCTAATCTTCCACCCCCCTGGTTCAACAGCCCTGGGTTTGAACGCTCAGCTCCACACTGAGCTCTTCCAGCACGGATGTGTCCAGGAGAAAGCTGCTTTCCCCAGCCTTGGTCCTGCCAGGAGCTCCACCACCCCATCTGCACCCCACGGAGAAGCTCTGCTGGTTGAGCTCTGAACCAGGCTGGGTTAAGCATGGAGGAGGAGGAGGAGGAGGAGGAGGAGGAAGCCTGGAAAAGCACTCAGCAGCATCTGTGGTGGGTCAGAGAGCACTTCCCTATCCCAGTCTGGGCCAGGGCACTGACCCCCTGGGATCAGTGCTCACAGACACCCTCCAGAAATCCCTCCATCCCTTCCCATCCTGATTCCTGGGCTGGAAACAGCGGCAAGCAAGGAAATGTTTGTCCTGCTGACCGCCCTGCCTGCCATTCCTTTCCTGACTGGGTTCAACTACAGCTCTTTGAGGGAGAAGCTTGTCCAAGGATTAAAATCCCCACCTCTTGCAGAAACCCCCAAAAGCTGCTGTAACCAAAGGACCACATGCCCTGACACCCCCAGGCCCCCCAGGGCCTCAGAATGGGGCTCTCTAAGCCAGGTTGGTGGAGATTTCCTCATCATAACCTGGAAAAAACACCCAGAATTTAATGTGAACATTGGTGATGGTGAAGTGGAATGAAAAGTCTCACTAAGAGATCACAGGATCATGGAATGGTTTGGGTGGGAAGGGACCTTAAAGCCCATCCAGTGTCACCCCCTGTCATGGGCAGGGACACCTTCCACTGGCCCAGGGTGCTCCAACCTGCCCTTGGACACTCCCAGGGATCCAGGGGCAGCCACAGCTTCTCTGCCCAACCTGTGCCAGGGCCTGCCCATCCTCCCAGCCAGCAATCCCTTCCCAATCTCCCATCTGTCCCTGCCCTCTGGCACTGGGAAGCCATTCCCTGTGTCCTGTCCCTCCATCCCTTGTCCCCAGTCCCTCTCCAGCTCTCCTGGAGCCCCTTCAGGCCCTGCAAGGGGCTCTCAGGTCTCCCTTGAGCACTGACTTCTTGGAAAAGGAAGGAAAGCAAGATCCAGTGACTATAAATCTCTTATTTCACCTGCCCAAAGGACTCCTCTCAGGGCCCATCCTGCCCTGAGCAGCTCCTTCGGGAGCCACGTGGATTACTGGGGGACTGTGGGATGAAGGAGCAGAAACCTGGACAAGTATCACACAAATACATCCAAACAAACAGGCTCCCAGTCCAGCCTGACCCCCCAGGAATTCCTAAAGCATCCCTTCCATTCAGGGTGCTCCCAGCCAGACCACGTTACGGCTGTTTTGTGATGAGGGGTCACCGTGTAAATTCTAAAACAACAGGGATCCCTCAGATATGGAGTTTCCCAACAAGACAACTCAGGGGATGGATCAATGAGCAGTGCCAGGTCATCTGGATGTTCCAGGGGAAATTCAAGGTCAGCCAATAGGACTTTGGCTTCCTGTTGGGATCTCAGGGGTTGGAACTGCTCCAGGCAGAGCCAGACCACAACTGCCTCAGAGTCCTGCAGCAGACACCAGGCAGCTCCTCTTTTAAAATTGATGGATGAAGAAGAAATCCTGCTCCCTTCCCTCTCCCAGCCCAGAACAAAAGGGAACATATTGCAACTGTGCTGAGGGAGAGAGGAGGCTGCTGTCTATTCCTTTAAATGTAATGTTAATGCCCTGTAATCAGCTTTAATTTTTAAACAGGCCCAGCCCTCCTGTCCATTCCCCCTAATTCAGGACACGTGGAAGGTAAATGGCCTGTGCTTAAACCGGGGCAGCTTCGGCTGTGACAGCTGGGGAGCCTCAGCTGCCTCGGGACAGCAGGGGAGGGACATGGGGAGGGCAGGGGAGGTGCTGGAGATGCTCTGAGGTCAGGGACACGGTGCCAGACAGGGCACAGCTCGTTTGTGGATGGAAACTCTCTGAAGGCAAGGGGGCTGGCAGGAATTGTGGAGGGGCTGAAGCAGCAAAGGGCTTGGGGGGGACGCCCTGCCCTGAACGGAGCGGATCCCTCTCGGGGACCGGCAGGGAAGGAAAGGGCAGAGGCTTTTGGGGGCAGCAGCAGATCAGGCCAGGACTGAGCCACTCCTGGTGTCTCCCCAGGCTGCTGCCCTTGTGTCACAGCTGAAGAGCAGCCTGGAGACTCCACGTGACACCTGGATGCAGGACAGGGGTACAAACCCCCTCTCCTTGTGCTCTTCCAGCACCGTCCCCTTTGCCAAGAGGAGAGGGGCCTGTGGCCCACCCAGACTGTGGGTGTCACACATTCATCATACCCAAATATTTGTCTCCAAGAATTGCAGATTGGTTTGGGTTGGAAGGGGCCTTAAAGATCATCCAGTTCCAGCCCCAACAACTTCCACTGGCCCAGGCTGTTCCAAGCCCCATCCAACCTGCCCTTGGACACTTCCAGGGATCCAGGGGCAGCCTTAGCTTCTCTGGCCAACCTATGCCAGGGCCTGCCCACCCTCACAGGGAATTTTTTCCTAATATCTCATCTAAGCCTGCCCTCCTTCAGCTCAAGGCTGTTTTCCCCTTGTCCTGTCACTCCATGCCCTCAGGAAAGGTCCCTCTCCAGCCTCCCACAAGCCCCCTTTACATGCTGGAAATGCTGCTAGAGGGCCTCCCCGGAGCCTTCTCTCCCCCAGGCTAAACAAAGTGACTAAAACGAGGTTTCCCTGCCCCAAAAGCCGAGAATCCCCAGGAACAGCCACCCCGAGCCACTATTTTTAGCCGCCGTTGGTGGGCAGACAAATCCTAATCGGCAGCGCAGCCGCCTCGTCACCAGTCCCAGGATCAGGCCGGGCAAAGCTGCATGGGGCCCGTGATGACAGCCCTGAGGCACAGGGACAGCCCCAGTGACAGGGACAGCCCCAGTGACAGGGACAGCCCCAGTGACAGGGACAGCCTGGACAGCCCCAGTGACAGGGACAGCCCTGAGGCACAGGGACAGCCCCAGTGACAGGGACAGCCCCAGTGACAGGGACAGCCCTGAGGCACAGGGACAGCCCAGACAGCCCCTCACAGGGACAGCTCCGAGGCACAGGGACAGCCCAGGATCAGTGCCCAGCCATCAGGCAGCACAGCAGCACAAGCCACCAGGGCTGAGCCAGAGCCAGTGGGAATTGGCCCTGGTGGGAATTGGCCCTGGTGGGAATTGGCCCCAGTGGGAATTGGCCCTGGTAGGAATTGGCCCCAGTGGGAATTGGCCCCGCTGGCAGTGCTGGGGCCAGTGGAGCAGCCCCGGCTCCGGGCAGGGAATGTCTGGGCTCTCGTCCCGCTTGGAAAGGCCTGACTGCTGGCACTGCAGTGTGCCACAGTGCCAGCACACGCAGAGCTGACGGGGAGAAGCACACGGGGGTGAGGGGCAGCCAGGTACCCCCTCTTTATGGGGTACAATGAGTGTGCTGAAATCCCGGCATCATCAGGGTCAGAAAGCAATTCCCAGATCAAGTCCAACCATCCCCAGCACCACCAAGGCCACCACTGACCCGTGTCCCCGAGTGGCACATCCATATGGCTTTGAAATCCCTCCAGGGATGGGGGACTCCACCCCTGCAGCCCCTTCCAGTGCCTGACAACCCTTTCCACGGAGAAATTTTCCCTGATATCCAACCTGGACCTCCCCTGGTGCAATTTGGGGCCGTTTCCTCTGGTCCTGTCCCTTGTTCCCTGGGAGAACAGACCCAGACTTGACACAGGTTAAGCTCATAACTGAGGCTTATGCCAAGGTATTTTAGAGTCCATCAAGGCCCCGTTGCTGATAATGATGCATTTCTGCACAGCAGTTTGTCCTCTAGGAAACACCTCTCCCTGTTCCTGGAGCTGCTCAGTGAATCCAGGAATTCCCCACTCATCCCTTTTAGCTTTCCTTGTTGGCTGCCAGCATCTCTCCAACCTTTTCCTCTGAAACACATCTGCCAAACTGATTTTCCTCACCTTTCCTTCACATTGGGAATAAATCCTACCTGTTTCAGGGTAAACCTCCATTAAAAAATTCTCTTCCCACAAGGAAGGCCCTATAACAAGCTTGACTCTTCCCTTCCTGTCCTCCTCGATGTAAGCAAGCTGATCTGCACTTTGCCAAGCTGCTAGCGACTCATTTGGCTCCACTTTCCCTAAAAAAAGGAGATCCAACAGGAAAATCAGAAAACAGTGCTTTTAGAAACCTGACATTTGCAGCCTCTCAGCCTCCCCCCTTAATTTATGATTATTTTCCTCCTGTACAGAACCAGCTCCCAGAGGCTCTGTGTCCCTATCCTGAGGCAGCCCAAAGCCAGGAGAACAGGATCCTGCTGCCTGCCTTCCCCTCCTGGACGTGTTTCCAGCTGTAAACAGCCCTCCCAGAGCCGTGTGGGATCGGGATCCACGCTGCAGGCCTGCCAGGAGGAGGATTCCCCGTCTCCCATCTGCGCAGCCGAGGGTGGGGACAGGTTCCCACCTGACACCTCGCGGGTTTTGTGTGGGAAGCTCGGCAGCCTCAGCCAGGACTGAGGCTTTCCCAGCACTCAAACCTCTTCCCAGCCCCAAGTCACCCCCTGGAGCAGTCATTCTGGGTGGGAGGTTCCCTAAATTCCATGGGCAGCTCGTTTATCCCGCACTAACTGGGAAGATGCGCTCCTGGACCGACGCCGCACCCCCCGGCTTGCGAAAGCAGGGAGCTGGTTAATCCCCCCCTGCCCACGTCAGAGCCCTAATGCTCTTCCCAGCACAAATCCTGCCTCACCCCCAGCCCTAAGCACGGCCCCCCTGGCTCGTGGGGAGAGCTGGGGTTGGATTTTTTGGATGACTTTTGGGGTGGAAGAGGGCAAGGCTCACGGTGGGCTCCTCAGCCGTGCTCCCAGCAGCATCTCCAGCGGCACAGGGAGGGGATACATCAGGAAAATGTGCTCCGGGGACCTGTTGCTGCAGGTGAGGCCCAGGGGGACAAACAAGGATCCACTGGATCTCTGGCTGTGCCGAGCTCAGCTCTGTGAAATTACCTCCCTGCTCACGGCTCGATCCCACATCTTCCCCTGCTCTTCCCATGGCCTGTTTGAATCCCAGCCGGAGCCTGGAGCACCCTCTCACCTCCACAAGGCCCCACACTGCCCCAGGCCACAGCAACCCCGGACTCGTGGGGCACCGAGGCCTTTCCCTGGGCAGAACAGCCCATGCAGGCTCCTTTCCCTGGACAGAACAGCTCGGAGCTCTGCCCTGGCCCTGAGCTGTCCTTGCAGGCAGCAGCCTCATCAATATTTCAGGGAGCAGCCGGGAAGCCCGTGGCCCTGGCAGCTCTTGGATCAATGGCAAACCAAGGGCTGTGGGATGGGGACGCTCCGGCCCCGCTCCTTCCCCATCGAGTTCCCTGCTCCACTCCCACAGCAGCTCCAGAGCTCAGAGCTTCCCCTTCTCCATCCAGCTGGAGGGATAGGCGCTGCCACCCCCCCTGCACTGGCTCTGAGCACTCCTTGGTTTAATGCCAACCACTTAAGGAGGGACCATCTGAGCCTCCAGCCGTGGGGTCAGCGGTTCCCGCATCCCGGCTCCCAGCAGATGCTCCGGAGCAGCCAGGAAACCATAATGCACTCAGGCAGTTTGACACTGCAGGGGGAGCAGGGGATCCTGTTTCCTTGGGCTGCAAATGGAACCCACCACGAGATCAGCCTTGGGTGGTTCGGGATGTCCCCCAGCTCCCTGCAGGATTATCCAGACAGCCAGCCCTGGATTCCAAGGTATCCATGAGCACAGGTTGCCCCTTTTTAGCTGTCTTGGTTGTTCTTGTACCACTTAATTATTATTCGGATAATAACTCCAGAGAATGGGTGGGAAAAGTGCCGTACTGAGGCAGAAAGAAAAGCTAATAAAGGAGAATAATTGCATCTAATGGTTAAAATCAGCAACGAAGCACCTTGTCTGACCCTGATACATTTCCATGGAATCAGGGAATGGTTTGGATGGGAAGGGACCTTAAGGATCATCCAGTTTCAGTTGCTGCCGTGGGCAGAGACACCTTCCACTAGACCGGGTTGCTCCAAGCCCCTTCCTGGCCTTGGACATTCCAGGGATGGGGGTTGTTAAAACACTGTCTCCTCTTCCCTATCAGTAAGATGAGGATAAATTTCTAGTCCTTCCAGTGAAAGTGATGTGGGTAAGGGAGTGGAATTCCTCAGGAAAGCCCTGCAGAAGGGTAAGAACATTCCTGGAGAGAAGCATTTATTGGGAATATCAGCAAGTTAAGGCTTTGCAAACAACATCGAGCAGGGGGAATCTGCTGTTTAATCCTGTCATGGCTCTGGGAGGTGTTCTCCCCTCTCTCCTTCCTGCAACCAGTCGTCCCAAATTACCCCCAGTTCCATCTCCTCTGGACAGAAGGAGTGGTTGTTCCTCCTGCATCAAATAACGGGTGTCCAGGAGGCTGCTCACACTCCCAGCCCAGAGGAGGATAAATCCTCCTGCCGGTGCCGAAGCTGCCGATCCATCTGCTCTCCATCCCCAGACAGAGACAGAGGGAATGGATACCACCATCTCCCGCATCCCTGAGGGACATCTATTAGCTGGTTACGTAATCCAACCACCAGCACGGCGCTTCCAAGGGCTACAAAGCCCTTCCCCTTAATGCCACCGGAGATTAGAGCCAATCGAAGGCGAGTGGGAAGCGGGAGAGGGGCTGCGGGCGAGCTTCTGCTGGCGGAAAATGCTGCAGCCTCTCCCCTTAATGCACTCTAAATCCCAGCTGACTTCCAACTCCGCTGCTAAAAAAAATAAAAAGGAAAAAAATAAAATAATAAAAAAACCCAACCAAACCTAGCCCAGCCTGCATCCTGCATTAAAGTGATACTAAAGCTGGGGGAGAGAGGTGGAGCCACTCCGGGAGGGTGAGTTTCTGGGGGAAGCATCCGGAGGAATCCAGAGCTGAAAGCATTTTGGGAACAGGCCAGAGGGAGCTGGGGTGCAGATCTGCTGAAGGGCACCCACGTGCCCTGCCAAAGCTGATTAGTTGCTGGTTTTGAGCATCCAGGGGCAGATCCTCCCTCCGATAAACAGCCGTCACTTATCGCCCTCCCGGCGAGTGGAACACGACGCACCCTGACCCTTCCCTCGCTGACAGATGCCTTCCCAGCTCCCAGGGCAGGCATTTCTCTTCGTTCCTGCTCCCTCTTCAGGCTGGCTGACTGCACGGCAGGGCAATCAAACCAACTCCGAGGCAAACGCCTCTCCCACTGCCCAGTTTTTGCTCCGAACTGAATGTACCGACGTTGCAAAACCAGCACGTGCCCGGCGAGATGAGGATCTGGAAGGGCTTGGATGGAGTTCAACCTCGAGGTCTCATCTAACCAGATTCCTGCTTTCCATGCCAAGTGACAAGGCAGGAAGTCACTGCTGTGCCACCTGACCTCCTGTGCTTGGCCCCCCTCTCACAATTAACGCCCAAACAGCCCCATCTTGAAGGTGCCATTTCTTCAGGACTTCACCCTCTGTGCCCTTTCTGAGCTTATTTTGACAAACCTCCTTCCATTTAATCCAAATAACCACTGAGTTTCTTCTCTGAACTTGGAAAGTATCCCAGGATCAGGCTGGGATCACCGAGTCCAGCCTATGACCCCACACCACCAAGTCACCCAGCCCAGGGCACCCAGTGCCACGTCCAGTCCTTCCCAGGACACCTCCAGGGTCAGGCAGAAGCTCAGAGCAACTGGAGGCAGTGGATGAGGCACATCTGCACATTCCAGCAGCATCCCTTGAACCAAGTTCCATGGATTTGGTTTTTTTTAATAGGAGATGAGTTTGAGTAGCTGCAAAAAGCCACTAGACTTGGCAGAAGAGGCTCCAAACAATAGGTGAGAAATGCTACAAGAGAATCCCTAAAACTAAAGGATTGATGGTGGGGGCAAGATGGGAAAATAAAGCAGGAGGCAAACGACAGCTGAGGGACCCTGGAAGGTCTCATCTGAACAGAAAAGCTACAGATGCTCAAGAGCAGCCCCCAAACCCACAAAACAAAAGTTTTGAGAAGGGAAGGAAATGAGGAGGTTATAAAATGTTGGTCATTGTCTCACGGGGAAGAGTTTGGGTATTGAGCTTGTTGTGGCACCAACTGGTTGTGTTGGCTGATTGAGGCTGGTCCTCCCTGTGCTGGGCACTGTGCAGATGTAGAACAGGGAGGAGTTTTCCCAAAAAAAAACCCTAAGGATAAAGAGGAGGGAAGAGCAGAGCGACCAGCACCACGGAAGCAAACGAGAGCTCAGTGCCACCATTTCCTTTGGAGGCACAACCTGCTCAGTGACCACCTGCAGCTGGAAATGCTACCAGCAAACTCCTGGCATTTCAGCACGAGGAGAGGCAGACCCTCGAGGTGAGAGCCCAGGAAAAGCAAGCAGAGGAATTCCAGGTCCCCAGCAGCCTTACCATTGGCATCCTGGACGCCGGTGAGGGCTCCGACCGCCGCCGCTGTTTCTCCAGACAGGACAATCTGTCCCCCCCCTTGGAGAGTGGCTTCGGCCAGTGTGGCCACGGCGTGGGCAGCAGCTTCACTGTGGGCACAGAGGGGAGAGAGGACGATCAGGAACACCAAACCCACCAAACAATTCCACTTTAACCGGGCAGTGCATGGCAAGAGAAATCCACCCCAGGCCCAGGTGAAGCAGAAAATCTACACTGGAGGGGGAATGACGTGGGAAGAAGGTGGTTCCAGTGGCCCTTTTGAGTTTGGAGGGGTCTTAGAACATCCCTGTCCTTCGCATCCTTTCACCTGGGGTTCACTAAAACTTTGGGACAATCCGAGAGGTTGTTCCATGTGGCTCCTTCCTGCCCCTGGTTCGAGGTACAAAACTCATCCTTTTGGCACATTCTGGGGCTCTGCAGATTCCAGAGCTATTCCCTTCATCCCTGACTCTGCCAGGTCACCTGGCACTGGGACAGGCTGTGCCCAGGATCCCAGCGAAGAGGCTGCTCCTGGAGCAGCCCTGCTGTGGGAACAGCCAGCAGCAGATATTTGGGAAGCAGTGTAGATGATCCTTTCCTTCCTGCACCCTCCCAGCTTCCCAGAGGCTGCATCTGCACCGTCAGCTTGGATTTGTCTAATCCCCTTGGAAACCCATCTTACACTTTTTGCTTCCACAGCATCTCGGAGCAACAAATTCTACATATAATGAGAAGAAAAACGGAATGATGGTTCTGCACCAGCTCCTGCCCAGGCCTGGCTGGGCGGCCCTTTGGCCTGATGTTGTGAGGGACAGAAAAGAACTGTTCCCCTTCTGTTTTCCTCATGGTTTCATAGACTTCCAGTAACCTCCTTCCCAAGCTGAAGAGGACTGTGGAATGGATTATCCCTGGGCTTTGATCACTCTTGTCCTTCCCAGACTTTTCCTGTTCAAGGGGAGTGACCACTTCTCGCACTATTCCAGATGTAGATGCCACAAGTTAGTCCAGAGGCCTAATCCTGGCTTGTCCTGTGTGCCTTTCCCTCTAATTCCCAAGATTCAACTTCCTTTTTCAACAGTATCTGCTCAGCAGTGATTAAAAATTCCTGACCTGGGGCAGTGGTGGCCCTGGGAGTGCTGGGGGATGGTTGGACACCGTCGTCTCCAACCTTATGATTCTTAAGATTCTACTTCAGAAACACATTTGGGAAAAACCCCCAAAGACCTTTAGGAGAAACCCCACAGATGGAGGCTGTGGAGGAGACTCTGAGCCTGAAGTGGGAGCAGGAATCAGGACCTGTCCTGCAGACCCCTGGACAATGCTTGGCCCAGGAATTCCCTACAGAAAAGCCTCTCTTAAGACTGTCCAGAGGGGAATGAAGAGCCTGGAGGTGCCCCCATACCTGTTGAGGGCCATGGTGACAGTGGCTCCCTGCTGCATCTCCTGGGACGCTGCCACCGCTGCCTCCGCCAGCGACGCCACCGCCTGCGTGGCCTCCGACGCCTGCGTCGTCTGGATGGTCATCTCACCCCCCTGGAGCGTCGCCCAGTTCTGCTCCACCTGCCAGGAAAACACAGCAGGGTTGTTGCTGTACCCGGATCACGGGCTGGGATCTGATTAATTAGCTCTGCTTAACGGCCATAAATAAAACACAACCAGTTCCACCTCAACATGAGGAAGAACTTCCTTCCGTGGAGCTCTGGAACAGCTACCCAGGGAAGGTGTGGAGTGTCCCTCTCCCGAGACATTCCAACCCCAGCCGGATGAGCTCCTGTGTCACCTGCTCTGGGTGATCCCCAGAGGTCCTTCCAACCCCAATAATTCTGGGGTTCTGTGTTTCTGCAGTGCTGGAGCCCCAGCACGGATCAGATCCCTCAGGGAAATGGGCTGTGTTTGCCTCACAGTTTCCATTTGCATCATCCACAGCCATTTTGGGGAACGATCCGTGTTCCCATCTGGGATTTCTTTGTACAGCACCTGCAAATTCCAAGGGGTTTGAGCCAGCTGGGACGTCTCTCTGCTGCTCAATAAAAGATGACGGTGGATGGGAGTGGTCTGTTCATGTACCTCAGGTACTTTCAACTCCCTGACTCCAGACCTTTCCATTAATAAATATTATATTCCGTAAAGTTCACCCATCTCAGCTGCTCATTTCCCACCTTTCTCCGTTTGGGACTTCACAGCTCATGACACAGTGAATGTGTGGCCACAAAACCCACCAGGATGGGAACCAGAAACATGGACTGAACCCACCCACAATCCCAGTGGCTCTGAGCTCTGTCACAGGGATGGGATAAGGAAAGAAGGAGAGGAAGGAGGGCCTTTCCAGGCTCTTCTCCCCACTAACAGGAAGGTTTTGCTGCTGGAATATTTTGAAAGGATCGAAAACAACCTTAGAAATAATCCAGTTGCACCCTGTGGGGAAACACCTTCCACC